AACGCCTTAACTGCTGCAGTTGTAGCGGCTACGGTAGAACCCACCACCAATAACGGCAGTTTCGGAACCATCGCGTCGAGGTCCTACCATAGACATATCGGGTTCTTCCCGCAGCGCCTTGTTGTTGTGGAGTAATTGAGCTTTGAATCTCGGTCTAGTCTAGGAGGGGGTGCCAGGTCTCCGCCTCTCACGGAATACCACGGTACGGTATACGGTACGGTACACACAATCTTGGTTGCGGAGTAATCGACGTATGAATCTCGGTCTAGTCTAGGAGGGGGTGCCATCTCTCCGCCTCTTTACGGAATACCACGGTACGGTAAACGGCAGAGCCTCGCCTCCCCACTCAAGCGTTTTCCACCCCCAGCGTTCTGTTCACCTTCTTCCATCCGCCGACCACAATAGAAAAAACTATCTCATTTTTTTCTTTCCCCATGTGCTCTGTTCAGCACACCTGTCACTGAAAAAAAAAACATGATGAAAAGTCCCACAAACATCTACCAATTTAATACAACAAACACAAGAGTAATTTTAATAGGAATAATAATGAGTACTTCATTTTCTTTCAAGCCTAACGTTCCAAATTGTGTTTTTGTCCACCAACCAATGAAAACAAATGAAACGCAGATCTACGGAAACAGCTTCACGAGAGCAGAGTCGGGCGGCCTGAGCTTCTTCGCCCTTCCCCAGGGCAAGGTCTGCGGCAACTCCTGCCAAGACGGACCGTGCGACATGCTTGGGTGAGTACTCGCGACCTTCCTTAAATCAGCGCCAGACTATAAATATTCTTTGTGGTGCAGTTGTGATGAAAGATGTGCCTTAAATCAGCACGACTACATATAGTTATTCTTGTGGTACAGTTGTGATGAAAGATGTGCCTTAAATTGGCGCAAGACTAGAAATATTCTTATGGTGCAGTTGTGATGAAAGATCTGCCTTAAATCAGCGCGACAATATATAGAATTGTTCTTGTGGTACAATTGTGATGAAATATGTGCAACAATACATATAATTATTCTTGTGGTACAGCAGTTGTGATGAAAGATCTGCCTTAAACAATATATGGAAATATTGTTGTGGTACAATTGTGATGAAAGATGGCACCATTGTGATGAAGTCGACACCCCTCCAGGTATGCATGTGTGCGACCCCCGCTACCCATTCTTCTTGGCGTATGTTTCGTTGGTAAACCACCGCGTCGTGAGGACTAGACCATTCTGGGATCCGTTTATTATTATTATTGTCGGTTTCTAGACAGGCGTACCCTTTTTTTGCGGGCAGTCGGCTTGTGACCACGGAAGGCGTCCGCGCCGATTGGAGCAGTACGAAACGTTAGAAGGTTCTGAACGGAGACCGGAAAGATTTTCATTGTCAAGACAACGACAATGTGTGCGTTCCGAAACCGATGTTTTCGTGTCACTCCCCACCGTTTTTCCTTGGTACGAGCATGTTCTCAATCGATTCAGTGACCACGACAAAGGGTGTTTACGTGAAAAAAACATTCGGACACTTGCCCCCCCCCCCCCCCCCCGGCGGAGGGCAAGTTCGATTTCTGTCTTATGCAGGAACTATTATGGGACGCTTCGTTCACGAAAACAAGTCATTGACCCCCTAGTACAGAGGGTTTTCTATCCCCGGTGCCCCTCACGCCAAAGTGAAGTATGAATTAGAGACCCCCGATTTTTGATGAAATAGTGGGCCCACGTATTCAATCTGTTCTCATGTAGACCCTTGGAACCCACCCCCTTTTCGTGGGTTAGGGTGAAGGTATTCCAAACTGACTCCATGGTACGTACCACGGTATTGATTTACAGGGGCTTGGGTGACGAAGGCCTGGAGTCCACGTGGGACCAGCCTTGCGACGACTCGGACCTATCCAGGTGATTTTTCCGTAGCGAATGCAGCCAGCTGTGGTTGGTGTTGCCGTTGTTGGTGTTGGTGTTGGTGTTGCTGTTGCTGTTGCTGTTGCTGTTGCTGTTGCTGTTATTGATGGTGTTGATGCTGTCGGTGGTAGTGTTGTTGACGGCGCGATGGCGGAGTGGTTGTTTTACGTTTCGTTCATGGACAAGAACCACACAGTAGCGGACAGCGGAAGAGCGCGCCAGTACACGTTTTTTTTTGTTTTGTTTCGCACCGATTCACATGATCGCCCCCCTTGACACGCCGCTAAATGCTTCTACATACAGTAGTTGTCGTAAGTTTTGGCACTCTCTCTGGGTAGTTTGCCTGTGGCTACGTAAGGCTTTCGCCGGCATTTCGTTGCCTGAAAAAGTCCGTGTGTGATGTTCCTGTTTCCTGTCTCCTGTCTGCGATACGCTCGGCTGACATGTTTGTCAAACATAACGAAAGGTAGGTAGAATAGACTGGCGCCCAGAACAGATGGGGTAAGAAAACACGCGCGACTACGATGTGAACTCATGGTAAATCTATCCCTGACTCTTATCTGTCGAGGGGATGAAACTCTATTTGCTGTGCCACTAGAAGCCGAAATCAAACCATTAGGCTAGTCAGCGCTGACGCGTGTAATGGTTTGATTTCGGCTTCTACAAAAGTTAGTCCGGGGGTTCGTGGGCCCCGTCACTGTCACTTCCGAGGAAAAAAAATACTTTATGAACTCCCACCTGCTCGCTGTCCTTGCTGTAGCAGCGGCACCGATGATGACAGCAGTGACGGCGACACCGGCGGGAGCAGCAGCGTCAACAGCGCGCAGCCATTCAGTGAGGGCAGCAGCATCAGCACCAGCACCAGCACGATTGGTGGCGACAGCAGCGACAGCAGCGACGGTAGCGACAGCAGCGACGGTAGCGACAGCAGCGGCAGCAGCGTAGGCGACAGCAGCAGCAACGGTGGCGACAGCAGTAGCAGCGGGGGCGACAGCAGCAGCGACGGTAGCGCCAGCAGTAGCATTGGGAGCGACAGCAGCAGCAGCGGCAGTGGCGACAGCAGCAGCAGCGGTGGCGACAGCAGCAGCGAAGGTAGCGCCAGCAGTAGCAGCGGTAGCGACAGCAGCAGCAGCAGCGGTAGCGACAGCAGCAGCAGCGGCGGTGGCGGCAGCGGCAGCAGCGTCAGGAGCGCGCAGAGCGACAGCGCCGACGAGCCGACCGCCCCACCGTCAGAAACGAGCCAGGAGGACGAGGGGGAGGACGAGGAGATGGAGGAAGAGCAGGGAGATGAGGGGCAGGAAGCGGGAGGGCTTC